CACAGGTAGCTAAAGTCAAGACGATTTCAAACCAATGATGACAAAGACCTCATTGCTGATTGATCTCTTTTCTTTCTCATATTCCCTAATATGTTCTGTATACATCTATCTCTGAAGTCTGAGCTAGAGTGATAGTATTGTGTGGTAATATTTTCAAGTATTTTTCCCTCTGGTTATGCAAAATGAAAAAAAAAGAAAAATGGTATGCTATATAAAAATTATGCAGCAATTGCAACAAAAATAAGATAATGACACAAAATTACTTCTCTTACTTACTTTTGAAGTCTTAAAACTACATTTTAAATGTGGAAAGCATACACCTTATATCAGAGCCAGTGACACAGCTATAGGCATTCTTAATCAAATGAAATCTAAAACTTTAGTGGGAGGTCATTAAACTGTTCCTAGGGTACCCTTTTACTCTAAAAGCCTCTGTAAGTGACTGAAGTTCTAATTTGAATAATTGCATTCCACCTACATAAATTCTCTCTGTAGTTTCAACTGTATGCAATATCAGTCTTCATTTCCTGAATTAAATTAATGTTATGTGTAATGTGGTGCTTCTTTAAAAAAAAAAAAAGTGCACCTACTCTCATAGGTAACCTTTCAGTAACCAGTAGAAATGATTCATGTGCACTGGAGGGGAATAGGTCAGCATGAATAATCATTAACCAACAATTTGTGCCAGTATTCATTGTATGCTGAGCATTGTAAAAGGAATATCTCATCCAATAAAATGGATGTAGCTATAGAGCTTTATAAACTAAATCCTATTTTCTGTTTAATTACATCAGTGTATCATTAAAAACTTTATTTTCATTTACGACTTACCTTCCACTAGCTGACTCCCCATGTTTGATCATCCCTATCCTTTCACTCAGATACTTAATGGACGGAAAATTAATATTGAAAAATCCAACCTAAAAAAGAACCACTGAGTGGAGTTTAAAAAGTAAAGAATTATTTATCATAAGATAGAATCCCCAAAACAAGCTTCCCCTCATCATAAGCCAAAAGAATTTTTGAAAGACCTAAAAACAGTTCTTACAACAATGTTCCATAACAGTATTTATTCAGTAAATCCAAAATACTGGTATTCATATGTCCTTTAATGAGATTTTTCCCCCCTAGAGACAGGGTCTTGCTCTGTCACCCAGGCTGGAGTGCTGTGAGAGGATCATAGGTCACTTAGCCTCAAACTCTTGGGCTTAAGGGATCCTCCCTACTCAGCCTCCCAAGTACCTAGGATTACAAGCTTGTGCTGCCACGCCTGGCTAATTTTTTTGTTTTTTGTAGACACAGTCTCACAATGTTGCCCAGGCTGATCTCAAACTCCTGGCCTCAAGCCATCCTCCTGTCTCGGCCTCAAAGCATTGGCATGACAGGGATGAGCCACCTCACTGGCCTAACCCTTTATCATTCAATCCTTGGATTTCTTAAATAGCACGTCTTCAACTTGCTGAGTGATCTTTAAAAGTGGCTTTACTCAGAGTCAAGAAAAGCAGCTGTATTTCCTGCAGGATGCTCAGGGACTTCCAGAGATCTCAACACCCTGCCAGCTATTTCAGTACTTGAGTCATTAGAGAAATTGAAAACAAAATTTATTCCAATTGTCAAAAATTCTGCTGAACCTTATGCAAAAACATGCTTAGTTCACCAAAGCTGTATAGTACCAAAGTTGTCTCAAATCTACTGAATTAGTTCATCTAAATCTCTATTGCAATTTCTGCTCTTCACTAATCATATGTATGATTAAGTGATAGCTAATGGAACTATAAATGAAATTATCTGTTATACTTGGAGTTAGTCTCAAATTCATAAAATATAGGTCCCTAATGAATATATATTTTGTCTTTCTTCACAGAATATTCATTCTACTTTTATTCTGAAAAGAACATCTCCCTTTCTGTGGGAAATGTCACTTGTAATCCACTCCCAACTACCACAGAACAACAGGGTTCAAACAGACGTTGCAATTTTCTTAAGCATCACTCTGCCTAGTCACAGACTGAGCATATGCACCTACCGAAAACTAGACCAATCACAGTTCCCCCTCCTGGTGGCCAAGGCTAACCTGTATATTTGTATAAGTAATGAGATATGACCCAAACAGAATCCTCACAGTCCCTCTCTGAGATTTTTCAAACCGAAATTAAGCAAGAGGAGCAACCTCTCTCAGGTGGTAAAGAAACTGAGCTCCCTAAGGCAAGAGAGCTGCCAGTAGCCATGTACCCTATCATGTGAAGAAAGCTGGTCTGAAAGAACCAAGCCAAGATGCAGACAGAGCTGAACCTTAGAAAGAAGACTGAACACCCCAGCAGCATCCAAGTCCTGGCTCCAGGTGTTCCTGACAATAGCTACCTTCCTCATGATACACATGATAAGCCTTCCAATAATTCCCCGTTTATACCGTAGTCCTTAGTATTAGCTGTTTTCCTATAATCGGTAGCCAAGGAAATTCTAAGTAATATACCAGACAAATTCCAAGGTAATAAATTTGACTTACTGGGTGAAGTCCAGGAATATCGCAAGAAATTCTAATGCAACTGTAGAATCCAATGCATCTAATGCAAACCTGTTATTAGTTCATGGACAGACATTTAGGAATGACACAGTTTAACATTTTCTTCACTGGGGATAAGTCTTGTCCTTTCACAAGACAGTCAATTTCTTATGAGCAAGAATTGTATCTTATATTTTATAATGAAATGTCCTTAGCTCTCAGCACAAGCCATTAACATGGATTTTCAGTAGGAATATATCTAAAAATATGAAGTCTAGGCTACTATGATTGCCACACGGTCCTCTGGAATACCATCAGAGCCACAGTAAGTAGGTTTTGTGTTCTGGAAAAACCATTCTCGGGATAGTGGTGGTTGTCTAGCAAGACAGCACTAACAAAACTAGAGGAAATCATGAGTAACCTGCTAATTTCTTACCAAAAGATAAATACTTGTGGATGGATTCAAAGGGATTCTTGGGACCAAAACGAAATTTGTGTGGCAGTGGGGAAGGCAATTTTAACCTGAAATGAAGAATCTGGCTCAAAAGTTCAGCAAAGAAAGTCTACTTTTCCCTAAGGACTGGGTCAAAGATAAGGCTGCTGGGAAATCAAAATTAAGAGGCAAGAAATGTGGAATCCAGTCCATGTTAAATGTATTAAACTGTATTTTGAAATAAAGTAATATATCTGTAAATCTCTCTTCCTATGTTTACTATACCCCTGCATCAAAACATTTTTACATGCCAAGTAAGGACCAGTTTGCTTTGGGCTGGTGACCCAATATGGAGAGAATCTGAAACAGGACTGAGGTCAGAATCCCCTGACCAAGAGAAGACCCTAATCACACTCAAATAATGCAAGTAGAAGTAATATGAAGGCAGTCCTGCTTTAAAACTTTCGCTTCACCTAAAGAAGTTAAAGGATTTCCTGACCTTTATCTCACTGACTACCAGAACTCAGGAAGAAGTCTGATTTTCAATACCATAATTATAATATATAAAGGAAATTCATTCTAACTCCTTATAGCTGATATCTATTCCCTTGACTAGCTCTAACTAAAACAAAAAAAAAGAATGTAAAAAGATATTCCCTGTATTATTTTAATTTATTAGAAGTTCTGTATTTATTTTAGTTATTTGCTGTATATAGTTATTTAGCAGAATGCATTAATTTAATATATATAAATAACAAAAAAATTACAAAATGCAAATTCTGCTTAACTATATAAACTTACTTAAGCAGCAAGTTTCTAGACATCAACTTTAAAACCACAAAATTGTCTCTGAGTTATTCTGGAAGACTATTCACATATAACTTTTGGAAATTGCAGGGCATGGAAGCTCACACCTATAATGCCAGCACTTTAGAAGGCTGAGGCAGGAGGCTCGCTTGAGCCTGGGAGTTTCAGACAAACCCAGATAACATAGTGAGATCTTGCCTCTAAAAAAAATTAGCCAGCTGTGGTGGCATGTGCTTGTTGTTCCAGCTACTTGGGGAGGCTAAGGCAGAATGACTGCATGAGCCCAGGAGGTCAAGGCAGCAGTAAGCTGTGATCATGCCACTGCAGTCTAGCCTGGGCAAAAGAGTAAAACTCTGACTCAAAAAACAAAAATAATACACACAACAACAACAACAACAACCACCTTTGGTAATCTCTGTTCCAAAGTTCTTCCACTATAAACAGCACTTGATCTTTTCAGTTAGCAAGAAGCTTAAAAAGCACATTAGAATATCTGGGATCAGTGACTTAGACTTTTCTACAAAATAAATTCATACATCTATGTATCAACAGAGTAAATGAATTTGACACAAAACTATCCTGCAACTGAACTAATAATTTAGTCCTAAAAGGATATTCAAATATGGCCACATTCACAGAAAATGGTGTCATTTACTAAAAATTTATTAAGAATCTGCTTTAATACTATAAGAAAATGACTGACAGTAGTAGGAAACTATCGGGGGGGGAGGGAGATGGGATTAACAGTAGCAAAGATCTGTCTGGGGATGCGGAAACACCTCTTATCAACAAGGGTGCCTGAACGAAACGTATTTGTATACCTAACCCTTAACTGTACCCCACAATACCATAATAAAAAATACTGATTATAAAAAAAAAATCTGCTTTAAATCCTCAGAAAAAGGTGAAGAGGGGACCAAAGTGAGGCTCAAACTTTAGCTACACAATGACCATTTATATACCTAACCCTGAATTGTACCCCACATCTTTAAAATAAAATAAAATAAAATTCTCAGAATAAAATCAAACTATAGACCCAGAGAGCTATCTGATAGTTATTTTTATTCATCTCTACCTCTGATTATAACTGCATTAGCAGACCTTAGAAAGAAATTTAGTACAAGTGAAATTTCAGTTCAATACCTATTTATAACCTTTCAGTTCCTAGTACAGAAATAATAACTAGAACTCTCATTTCTAGTGCTTGAGAAACAGGGAAGCCTGCACTTTAAAGAATGAAGTTGCACTCATTTTCACCTGCATTGATGCTCCTTCCACTCTTGCCACACAGGCGACCCGGTCCAAGAAGGTTACTGCCACGGGCACTGCCACAAAGAAGCCTTTACAAAAGGCCTTGAAGTATCTTTTCAACCACCCTTGTGACTGTGCCATACCTAAAAATGCAATAACAAAAAAAAAAAAAAAAACTATGAAATTAGCCCAAAGAAAGGTGAAAAATAAAGACACAAAAACAGTACAAGAAAAGTAAGAGTTAGAGAAAAGCAATCTTGTCTCAATATATTTCACACTCATCCCTGCAACTGTTAATAAATTTGACTTAAAAGTCCCAGAGGGAAATATATGAACTCAGGCTAACTCTTTTCAGCAGCTCAAGTCCATTTGACAACTTCAGTGGAAAATTTCTCCCCACAAAGAGATGAGTTAGAAAAAAATAAGCATTCCAAAAGTAAATCCTTTTCTGTTGCTATTATTACAGTGGAGATGCTCACATAACCCCAGTATTTGTTCTCCTCTATAATAACAGAAGATTCAGTGGACATGTGGCTGAGTGGAACAGATTTCCCAGCCTCCCTGGAAGCTATGCGAGACCACGTGACTAGGTTTGATCAAAGACATATAAGCAGAAATTATATACTTCTAGTCTGTTCCCATAAAAGGATCATGCCCTCTACCTTCTATCCCCCATTTTATAACTGCAATAATAACAACATGGTGGTAGGAGCAGGAGTTGTCATCTTAAACTATGAAGTAAAAGCTTTAATTAAAGATGGCAAAGAAACTAAATAGAAGAATGCCAGGTCCCCAACACCATGAATGCACTATAACTGTCCTACATTGCTTACACTCACACTCAGACTATTAAATGAGAGATAAATCACTTTCTGTCATGTTTAAACTGTGCAATATTGACCCCTGCTATAGAAGACAAACTGATCCTAAATAATACAATAATGAAATCTACGACAGATCAGGAAAAAAAAAGTCACTACATGTGAATTAAATATATATAATTACCAATCCTCACTTAGTCCTGTAACCATCTGATTAATTTTCAGATTTTCTGGGGGTCAAGAAATTCTTTAACCGTATCATGTAATGAAAAACAAAACAGTGAGGGATCAAGGTGTGTCACCCTACCAAACTAAATGAAGCCCAGCACATTCTAATTGATAAAGAACTCTCCTAGCTGGAAAAGATAAATGACCAGTTTGTTTACTGATTTATCTAGACTTATCTGACTTAATCCATGTACTACAAGACTAGAAGAAGCAGATTAAGGAGGAAGATGGCTGGGTGGGAAGGCAGGATTGGGGGCATGCCTAGAGGTCTCTTGACTTCTTCCTTGGGGAATAAGAATGGGTTCAAGCAACTGAAAAATTGCTTAACACAATCACAAAGGCTTATTCAGTCCAAAATCCGAAGGTCAGTTTGTTGACAAGTGATCTGAGATTCTTTGTCCTCTTGAAAGCATGAGAGTCCAGAAATACAATTAAGACCGAGGGGGGAGGAAAGAATGAGAAGATGTTTGTCAAAGGATACATAATTACAGTTAAATAGGAGAAATAAATTTCAAGAGATCTATTATACAGCAAGGTGACAACAGTAAATATATTGTATTCTTGAAAAAATGTAAAGAGTGGATGTTATGTGCTCTTACCACAAAAATAATAACTATATGAGGTAATGCATTTATTAATTAGGTAAACATAATCATTCTATACTGTATAGGTACTTTGAAACATAATTTTGTAGAAAATAAAGCATGTTTTATTTATCCATTTAAAAAATAAATAAGATTTTTAAAAAATACCCAACAATGAATTCCCTCTAAAATCTTTAATACAGCACAAGAAAAAGATGAATACTAACCTGAATTGGTTAATTCTTAATGACCACTGTAACTGACAACTAGTAAGGGTTATATACATGCATGGTAGGGAATAAGGACCAATAATCTTGTTTTTTATAGCTTTATCAACATATTGCACATAACATAATATTCACCCAAACCAGTAATCTTTTTATATATAACTGAAATAAATGTAATCACAGACTAACTTTTAAAAATAAGCCAATTAAAAATGTATTTTCACTCAAATTCATCTAACAACTATAATCTTTAGTTAAATCGCCTATAAGTTCACACATCTAGTACTCAAGATATGTGTTCGGCCCAAGGTACTGAATGTTTCTGCGAGCAGCCTTAACCACTGCACTCCTGAAATAGCAAATTTGCTTGACATGTTTCATTCATTCATACACAGCTTTAATGTGAGCCCTTTAGTAAAACTAATTTCTCTTCAATGACATCTTTCACCTTGATTCAAAACTTCTCTCTCCCCCTCCCCCTCTTCTCTCTCTCCCCCATATATATATTATATATATAAATATATACACACATATACATATACATGTACATACTTCAGTTGATATCTCACTCTGTCACCTAGGTTAGAGTACAGTGGCACAATTATCACTCACTGCAGTCTTGATCTCCTAGGATCAGACAATTCTTCCACCTCAGTCTCCCAAGTAGCTGGAATTATAGACACACACCATCACACCTGGCTAATTTTTTTTTTGATAGAGATAAGGTCTCACTATGTTGCCACTATGTTGCCCAGGCTGGTCTCGAACTCCTGGGCTCAAGCAATCCTTTCACCTCAGCCTCCCAGAATGCTGGGATTACATGCCTGGCCCAAGAAGTATTTAATATACTTTTTAAATAGACTGTTTTACAAAGGTCTCACTTATCATCTCTTACATGACTTGATAATAGAAGAATAACTTTGGCATATATATCAAATCAGTACCTTCAAGATGCAAAAAATGCATTTTCCTCAACACTAGATTTCATTAGCTCAGTCTCTGAAACACTTCTAATCACAGGCTTAACAAAAGAAACATCGGTCTTCTAGTAAATTTAAAAATTGAGCAACCTCCATGCTTTTCCTCTTTAATGCTATCCAAAATACAAATAAATAAATCCAAAGATTCCAGATTGTAAAATATCTGAATCCACAAATTGAAGTGCTCCCATGTACACAGAAATGTTTTAGATATGATGTAGAAGAGAAAGGAAACTATTCGAAAGTAAATAATCAGCTCCTGATAGGTTCAAGCTTATTAAGTGGCCCACACTAACATTTAAGTCATATACAACTCCCAGATAATAATTCTAGGGTAGTGTTTCACAAGCTTGCCTTGACTTGACATGCTTAAAAATGAAGAGCCCCACCCCCACTCAGACTTCCAAAATCACTCTATTCCCTTAACTGAGCAAGTTAAGAAAATAGTGATATTTAGGTATTTAAAGGTCAGATGTTTACTCACTCTCTCAGACTTACTACCCTCTCAAGATGAGAACAAGGAGAAAAGCCAGGAAAGAATTATCACCCTGCATATCTTCTCAAACCCACATTTAGTTTGTCTCCTTAAGGTATCTGAAGAACAAACCTTGTACAGAAAATAAACACCACCACCAGATCCTGATTTCTAACCTCCTCCTGGTTTTATCAGAAAGTGACTTTCGCGGGACTGTCTCTTTGCCCCTACTAAGGCAAGTCAATCATCTATCCACTCACCTACCACTCAGTTATCACCTGGCTCATTAATTTTTAAAGCAAATATTTACTAAGGGTCTTCAACAAGCATTGTGCTAGGTATCAGGGAATCGTAAAACAGTGAGCAAAGTCAGCCTCAGTCTCTCATCTCATCAAGTTTCTACATCCCACTATGGAATGATATGGGTCAAACAAATAATAACATAAACACACATAAAATTAAGTTGTAATAAGTCCTGTGAGAGAGACACAGAGAGAACATGGAAGATCTCAGAGGAAGAGATTGAACTGAAAGATGAGAGGAATTGCCTAGACAGAGGACTATAGGGTAGGGAAAGGCATTCCACAGAGCAGTCACGTCACATGCAAAGTCCCTGTGGCAGGGGAATGACTATGTTGTAATAGAACATCTGAAGGGAGGCTAGTGTAGACAAAGTACAGAGGTCATGGGAGAGCACAGTGGGACAGGAAAGAGAGCAGCCAATATAAACACCAGAGCAGCTGGGGCCTCCTCACAGGCATTGGAAGGATTTTGCAGCAAGTGAAAAGTAATGAAAATGTCTTAAAACATAGGCAAATGATGGTATCTGTATTCTGAAATGATCATTCTGGAGCAAAAACAGAGGCCAGATTATTCTAGCAGTCCAGTGCAAAAGATGACAGTGGGTTGGACTAGTATGTTACTGGAGATGAATCAGAATGGGCAGATTTAAGATACATATTTAAGGCCACGTTCCATGGCTCAGCCTGTAATCCTAGCACTTTGGGAAGCCGAGGTGAGTGGATTGCCTGAGCCCACGGGTTTGAGTCCAGCCAGGGCAACTTGGTGAGACGTAGTTTCTACAATAAATCAAAAATTAGCTGGGCATGGTAGTGCACACCTATAGTTCTGGCAACTCGGAAGGCTGAGGCAGAAGGATCCCCAGAGCCCAGCAGGTCGACAATGGGGTGGTTGGGAGTATTGCTCCAGCCTGGGCAACAGAGTGACACTCCAACTCAAAAAAAAAAGACATATATTTAAGACACATATTTTGGAGGTTAAATTTACAAGAACTGGAAATAGATGGGCAATGGTGGGGGAAGGGAAGTGATAAAAGAATTTTTAATTCAGTAAGCATTTGTTTACTGAGTAGCAAGAGAGATGCTGAGTGCAGAGTATATGAAGATGGTTAAGCATACAGTGCAATACCATTTAAAAACTCACTAAACAATACATTACATTTGCTATGTAAATTTATATGTGCATAAAAATGGGACATTATTTGAATTGTTTTCATTCAAATTTAATAAACATCCATATGTCACTTGAGTAATTATTAAAGTATTGGGGTTAATTCTAGATGCTAGGAATGGAGATGATGACTGTTTTCTTTGTTGAACTTTTGTCAGTGTCTAGCACTTAAAAATGATGAACTCTACCCTAAGAAGTCACTTGGACATACAGATAATATGAGGTGACACTAGTCTTGACTTCTTTCCCATCACAGTAAAAAACTACGCTTCTCAGTGCAGGCCCTCTGCTGCTCAAAGTAGTACAAAAAACACTTAGCAACATTCTTCCCCATTGATGAGCAATCAATATGTTGAAC